CCATTTCTTGATAGCCAGTGAGGATTCTTTTTCAGGTATGGGCTAGACACGATGATCATGAAAAGTCCTTTCCAACTCAAAAATTCTGGGGGGGAGGAAAAGCATAGAGTACACCTTTCAGGCAGTTCAGCTATGAATGAGAAAAGAAAAAGTACATCAGATAAAGCAGGGGTGGAGACAAGTAGTGGTTTGTTTGGCTTTCAAAACTAGAGAGCTAGACATACCTTAAAAGGAGAAGAACTGGATAATTATGTCTTAAGAAAAGGCTGAGGGCAAGAACCTGTTCAGTAGGTAGAGACTGAAAGTTAGTGTTGACCTAGTCCAATGCCCATTTGTTCTTAAAATGAGGAAACCGAAGTCCAGAGGGCCAAATGACTTACCTAAAGGTCACATGACAACATAGGGGCAGGAAAGGGACTCAAACCCTGGGCCAGGGTTCTCTTCCCACTAAACCTGCCTTACTGCATTCAACACATCAGCTCCCCCGGATTTAATTACCATCCCCGTGTTAATGATTCTCAAACCTACTCATCCTGTCCCAAGCTCCCACCTGCTTAATGAATGTTTATTGGTTGAGTAGCCTAGAATTTTATCATCTGGTCCTTGAAAGCACTATATTTGGGGCATGTCATATTTAAATTGTATAAAGACCACAAAAAGTTTCAATCCAAATTGTGACACCAACTTCTAAACCCCAATTTTCATGATTTAGTTTTCCTTCTTTAAACTTATTGTCCACCAAAGGAAGCCAAAGAGTTAATTTGTACTTCAGTAAGAGTAAACCCATTTGAGCTCTGATTAAGAAGGGCACTCATAAAAATGGAGGTCAGCATCAGAAAATATTTTCTGAGTCACAGGGAGAGATTACTCACCATGCTCTATTCAACACAGCACGGTAAGGACACAACTGCTCACCATGTATTCATTAGAAAATCATGGCCTTTCCCTTTGAAGGAAGCAGAAGGCGGGGAAAAAAGTCATACTTTCAGTTTTGTATATAAGCCAGTGGGAGGCTATATCTGAAACACCCTTGCATCCCCTCCCACAGCCTTAATTAGTCTTGAAGGGAAATATATGTTTCACATCATCTTCTTAGGTTCTTTCCAAGCCCTGACAAGCATATGTACGTGAGCTAAACAGAAAGAGTTGATTTAAATAGGTTAGAGCTCCTATCTTGGAGGCTGCTCTAATACTGCTCAAAAAAAAAAAGGATGCAACAGCCTAAAGAATAGCAAGGTAAATTGTTGATGAAATGTGACTATCCACTTAATGTGAGAAAAACTTTTTTGTATTTACTTCCTATTAACTGAACCTTCCATTTTCTATGGAGGAATCTGTTCAGAGTTTGGAATGAGAAAGGGAAGAATCCATCAAGGAAAGTCCACCAAGTCCAGCCCTCGGACTTTACAAGACATGAGGAAACTGGGTCCTTGAAAAGACTTGCCTAAAGCCACTAACTTGCTACACAAATTAGTAGCAACGCTATACCTAAATCCAAATAGGGAGAGCCATGTTTTGTTTGCTCCTAAAAAATAAAATGTGCTAAATCACTTCAACTTTAATTCAAAGGAGTAATTCCATAACATTTCAAGAATCACTCATTTTCTCCCCTTTGGTACTCAGAAAATAAGAATTTCATGAGATTACTATTCACAAAAATATATTTTTCTATAAGAGAAAGATCACCCATTTTCCTTTCAAAATGTTTCAGTCCTTAAAAGCAGTTACCCAAAATGGAATAGGTAAGCCTAAAAGAATTTCAAAGGTGCCACTTTGGACTATGGCTTGTTAACTACCGTCTCCTGAACCTGCCTCTGTCCTCCTACCACCCAGGAACCCAAAGGGAAATGTGCAGTGAAACTAAGAAATGTTCTGCTGACGTCAAACAGCTCTGGATGGACGGGCAACACACACGTCCCCCACTCCTGCCAAATGAAGCCTGGGCCAGGGAGGGAAAAAGTCTGTAGTTCAGGACAGCCCAAGATTAGAAAGCTAGAGGACTGCAAGGTTCAAACAGTTCTTCCTAACCCAAGAAGCCAAAAAAATCATGGACTGCACCACACAGTTAGGTTGCAAATACCTTTTTCCCCTCACAACATAAAAAAAGGCATATGGTCTCTTCAACCAAGCTGCTGAAAAGAAAATATGCCACTGTCTCCAGATGACATCTCATTTCTGTAAAAATGCAACCCGGCAAGGCAAATTCATCCAAATAAAAGGATGTTTCTTAAAAAAAAAAAATCTCAAAGAGAAATGCAAAGAACGGCATGAAAATCTCCTAGGTTTAAAAATATCACCTATTTTGTCTTTATAAAAAGGCAATTAACCACAATTAGTATGCACCTGAATGTAACTAGTACTATTTCCCAGGGAATATTTGTCTATAATCTAATACGATTAGGTGACAAAGTTAAAAAAGCTTTTCTTATTACACCATCAACTGAAAGATTTCCCCTCCCCCTCTGTCTATACTGCATACACAGACCCAAACACACCCTGAGCTGCCCTACAGGAAAAGCTGCATTAACCGCTTGAGTGCTGGAAGGCTCAACATCTCTCTGGAAACAGGATGACCAAAAACAGAAAGTCCTGGTATATATAGGCAGGGCTTTGGGAAACCAGAGTTGCACAGAATTAGGCACCCAAGAACCTTGAGCCAAAGGCAAGTGTTAGCCATTTCTACACATCCCCAAAGCAGGATGTTTCCAATGATTCATACACATATATAAATTCATCAATCCTAAAAGAGGAACGGCCTATCACGGATCTTGTCAGACCAAGCTCCAGCAAGTTTGATTCCACCAGCCATCTCTACCCTACTGCCCCCCACCCACGAGTTTCAAAGTAAAGTGTCACCAAAATAGACATCATTTGTTGATATTTTTATTTTCTTTCTACAATATGCTCAATTCAACCTGTAGAGTAAGAAACATAAAGAAACATTTCCATTCTCAAGGGTTGAGGAGTGTTGTACCAACAATGGTAATGAGTTTTATCAAATGTGTGAGCCATTTGTAAATTTCCACTCAGGCTTTTCTAGTTTAAACATAAATGCTGTCGTGGGGGGTGGGAGTGGGAGAAGTCATTAAACAGTTCTATAATTCATAAGGAGACAACACAAATCTGTACTAAAATTAAAAAAAAATGAGGGGAGAAAGGCTGTTTACCCTACAGAACAATCTGAGGTGCCTGTAAGCTATAATACAACAGATTAAAAACAAGAACCATCTTAAATCCACTCAAGCAGAAGATAAAATTGAGTTTCTATATAATTAATATTAAACAGAAATACAGGTAGGTAGAACAGACATTGGGGGGAAAAAGTCTCATGCATAAACACTGTTCTATTTCCGAAGAAAACGGGGGCAGGAGAAAAACACTTAAGAGGTGTGCAATGATGGATTGACTGCCCCCATGAGCCAACTTCTCTGAACACTGACCTCCGTTGACACAAATGCATCATCTGAGAAAGTTTCAGAAACCTACATTTCAGCTGTAGAAATCTGTGAGCTCTTCGAGGAAAAAATTTTTTTTAACTTTTCCCCCTTTCATTAGTCAGTCTTCTTTCCCTCCTCCTCCCCAACCCTTTGCTTAACTGTCAAGACCGATGAGCCATTTTAGAAACCAAATTCCCCTATTGCTTCTGCATTTTTCTTTTTTAAAAAGGAATCATGCCCACATGACTGAAGGGGAGGGGGAAGAGAGGAGGAGCAGAAAACCAGGGGGGAAAATTATAAAAATAACTTCAACTGCCCAATTTCACAGGCTGCCTTGGTTCCTGAGTACTTCGTGTGATTGATGAGAAAGTGTGATGCCCTCAGTCACTTACCACCCACCTCCACCCTCATTATATACAGCAGAGAGGGCTAGCCAGATATCCAAGTAACCCCCACCAACAAAAAAACGGGGCAGGGGAAGAGCGGGGAGAGGCAAGGCTGAGAGAGACCTGCCTAGATTAGACTGGAGGTTGTAGAAGGGGAGTTTGGAATTAGTGTGGGTTATTTTGGACTGGGAGAGGAAGGGAAGGGGTGGGTGGGTGGTAAATGTTCTGGGCGTGGAAGACGTGCAGGGGGAGAATGGGGGGGGTGCCTGGGACAAGGCAGAAACCGATGAGTGTCTAGGGAATTGGGGGGGCGGGGGGCCGAAGCAGGTAAACACAGCAAGAGAGGGCTTGGGAAGAAAAGGAGTGCAGAGATACAGCCAAGGGTGGGGAGAAACATGTATGGAATTAAGGAAAAATCCAAAGGGGCAAAAGGGTGGTAACCCCGTAAAGGACTTACCAGGAGCCTAAGGGTTTGGGGGGGGAGGAATTCAGGAGGGGAAATGTACCGAACTGAAAGGGGCTTGATAAACGAGCAATTAAAGAGTGGGAGCTAAAAGAGGTCAACCAAGAAGGCTGACTTAGCACACACTACCTGACCCACAGTAGGCACTTAAATGTTTACTGATTGATTGATTGACTGATTCAATTGAATCGAAGGGGTTTACGGAGCCTTCTGAGAGCGGTACCGCGAGCCAAGTGGTATGGCCAGAAGTTTTGTTTGGGGAGGGGGCTGGGGTGGCGGACCGGAGAGAGGGTGCTGAAGGGCGTGAGGGTGGTAGCCCAAGCAAGGGGCTTGGCAGGAGCCTGGAAAGGTGAGGGGGCACAAGGGGAGTTTGGAAGCAAAGGGCGGGGGGTTGAGGGGCGGGAGGCTCGCCGCGGGGTACAAGCAAGGTAGCCCAGGGCAGGGGTTTGGCAGGAGCCGCTAAGTTTGGGGAGCGGGTTGTCTGGGGTTGTGGTGGGGGGCTCGGAGAAAGCGAAGGGGCAGCCCCGGAGCCCGGGCGCTTGAGGACGCAGATCGTTGGGGAGGAAGGAGCCCAAGGGCTGGGGGGCACAGGTCCACACGCAGGGCCCGGCGGGGCCGGGGCACACGCACACTCCCAGCCCCGCGGGGTCGGGCGAGGGGCACGCTCGCACACGCACACGCAGGGCACAGCGGGGCCGGGGCGCGGATACTCACATAGACCGGCAGGGGCCACGGGTACACGGCGGGCTCGGCTCCCACGGGCGACTTCAGCCTCAGTTCCAGCTTCTCACCCATGATCGCGAGCGCGGCCGCCGCTGCACCATACTAGTGGGCGCGGGCGCGGGGCGGGCGCAGCGGGGCCGGCGGGCGGGCGGGCGGGCGACCGCGGGGACGGTTGGCCGAGGGAGGGCGACTGGGGGCGGGCAGGCAACGAGGGAGGAGGGGCGCGAGCGGGGGCAGAGGGAGGCGGAGGCCCGGGAGTCACGACCGGCGGAGGCGGCGGCGTGGCCGCAGACTCGCTCTCTCCCACCCTCCCTCGCTCCCTCCCTAGCTGGCTCGCTGGCTCTTTTGTAGTTACAGCCCCCGGGTCTCCAGCGCCGCCGCCATCTTGGGCCGGCGTGAGGCGAGCACAATGAGCCAGGGGCTGGGCGAAACCACTCCTCCGACGCGAGGGGGCGGGGCCGAGCGGCACGCACGGGCCCGGAGAGCCCGCCCTCCCTGCGCCGCGCTCTCCTCCCCCGCCCCTTTAGGCTCTCCCTTCCTGTCCTCAGCTGCCCTCCCCCCTCCCCTCCCGCGGCCAGCCCCGGGGATGCCTGCACGAGCTGTCGAGCTGCTCCTCGCCTCGGCTGCTTGCAAAAGATGGGGGCGGGGATGAAAGCTTAGACCCGCTCACTCCTGCGGGGACTTGAAAAAGGCTTTAGCGATCCCCTTTTTACAAATGGGGAAACTGAGGCCATCAGAGGGGAAGTGAATTGTCCAAGGTCTCAAAGGGCAGCAGGGGCGAGATTCGAACCCCAGTGGTCCTACGGTTTATTATGTCTTACACCGGGCAGGTGGCCTTCGCAAGGGGCCCAGAGCCCAGTGGGTCTGCAGACCCAGGCAAAGGGAGAAAAGTGAGTAACCTGGATTGAGGATGCAGATGGCACCCCTGCCTTATGCTTCCTGGATCCCAGCGGGGGTGGGGGGTGGGGGTGGGGCCTGGAGAGGGAAGCATCTCAGAGAAGGATGCAATCTTAGAGTATCCATCAGAAACTTTATTCCTTCCTGACTGCTTCCCACCCCTTGCACCAACACCATCCAAGATATTGGGGGAGGAGGAAACTCAGTCTTCAAAATGCCTATCTTCCCCCTTGGTGGAGGAGGGAGCAGGGCAGCATTTGGAGGGTTTTACCAAAGGTTTTGTCAGATCTTCTGTCCGAGGAACCTGAAAAGGTCAAAGATAGGTGACTCACTTTGGAGGCACTGTAGCGTAATGGGGAAAAATACTGGCTTGGCAGGCAGGAAACTTGGTTTCTAATCTCTGTGCTGGTCGATAACTGGCAGGGTGAGTTGGAATGAAATCATGGCCCTCTGAAACTGAGCTTCCTCAGGTAAAATGGGGGAAGTACCGTTTTTCTGTTCTCATTCTCTTACTTGATACTTAATAAATATTTATTAAATTTAATTCAGTTGATAGAGTGAGGCTAGATCTAATGATTTCTTACTCTGTCACTTAAACATTTAGGGGTCTTTTATGTGCCAAATGCTGAATATTTTAATCCGGTTTGCATATTTTGGGGAAGGGGGTTTGGATGGGTCAGAACAGGGACACTGGAAAAATTCATTTACTTAATGATTTTACATAGGGCAGGCCCTGACGCAGGATAGTATTTATTACTTGCTTTTCTAAGCCTCCGGCCTCTCACTCAGCAAATCCTGATATGGGAATCTTAAGAGATAAAAAGGGATCACAGGATTTACAGTTGGGAGAAGATCATAAAGGCCATTGGGTCCAACCCCATCACTTCACTGTTGAGAAAACTGAGGCCCAGAAATGGGATGTGTCCTACCCAAGGTCAGGGAAGAGGACTGAGCTCCAAGATCTCTTCAAATGTAGTGTATGCCATGATGCCATCTCTTCATAACCTTAAAAAACCATCTAGTCCACCATCCTACCCCATGGAAAAATCCCCAGGAGAGCATCGCTGCGGGCCATCAAACCTCTACTTAAGTACATTTATGGGGAGCTCACTGCCTAATGAGTTCCATGATTGAACATCTATAATTGTTAGGAACCTTCCTCTATATTTAGTCAAGTTTTCCATCACCTCCAATTCTTCCCAGAGCTGGACCTAAGGCAGTATAATCAGAGCTTTGGCTCCTGGTGCCAGTGTTAAAAGATGCCGATCACAATGACAAACAATCCTTCGATGATGTGGAGATAACCAAACAGCACCTAGTAGCAAGAATCATTAGTCATAGGAAGGCTGTCAAATGAGCTGGGAAAGCTCCATCCCTAATCCACCTGGCCCATCAGGCCTGACTCACCAACAGCAACCTTAATCCAAATATCCCTGAAACTCTGCCTACCTCCCTACCCTACTGTTCCCACAGCCCCCACACTTCATGCTCTTTGTCTCTATGGAGGTTTTTGGAACTTGTCTCTAGCACAAAAATTCCTAGTTAGGGTTCTGTTTCCACCCATCCGTCCGAATCCTGCTGCACAGAGGGCCAAAGCCTTTGATACGTACACTATACAGGCCGAGTGCCCAGCATCTGTTCGGCAAGTCTGGCTGAGCCCAAGGAATTTCCCGAAGGCCTTAAGGCAGCAGCTCTGTGGTAGTGTCCTGTTAGCCAGCAGAGTGAAGGAGGATTACATAACAGGGCCAGTCTGAGGCCATCTATTTTAAGCAGCTATCCTCAAGAACGCAACGGTAGACCAGGAAGCTAGTGTCAGGCTCCATGTCCCAGGAAAACCTTTTGATAAGCCAGGCTCAAAACATCTATCCCTAGAGTCCTCCCCAAGGCTCTTGATACCACAGTGGTCCTATTAAGATGCATCATCTGTACTGAAATCTACACATACCAGGCAGGAGGGGGAGAGAGTATAAAAAATAAGAAATTGAAGCAACTTTTGTTCTTGTTGCAGCAATTAGAAGATCTCAATGTACCCTTCTATATCTGTCTAGGGAATTTAAACTGGTTTATGATACAATCTAAGCATTTTGAAACTTCAGTGTTCATTATCTGTAAAATGAGAGGCAAGCATAAAGCAATCCATGGTTATTATTCCAGGTTTGCAGTAAGGAAGATCTGAGTTCAAGTCCCATCACTGACCTATGGATTCACTTCACATCTCTATGCTGATGATTTTCAAATCTCTTTACTCAGGCCTAATCTCTCTACTGACCTCTGGTCTCCCATCTCCTGCTGCCTGTTAGACTCATAGATGTCTTAAACTGAACACGTCCAGAACTGAACTCTTATGTTTCCCCCAAAACCATCCCCCCTTCCAAACATCTGTATCATAATCAAGAGTACCAACAATCTCCCAGTTTCTCAGACTCCTAACCTAGGTGTCATCTTCAACTCTTCACTAGCGCTCACCACTCTCCTCCCCATTCCAATAGGATACCAAGGCCTGTCAATTTCACCTCTGAACATCTCTGGAATATGCCCACTTCTGCTCTGGTGCAGGCTGTCATCGGCCAACTTGGACTGTTGCAGTAGCATGCTGGTGGGTTGGCTTGGGACAAGTCTCTCCCCACTCCAGTCCATCTTCCACTTAGCTGTCAAAGTGATCTTCCTAAAGTGTAGGTCACTCCCTTCTCAACAAACGCAAAGTGATTCCCTTGAAACTGAGGTCTAAGAGGAAAAGTAAAATTCCCTGGTTTTCCAAACCCTTCATAACAGCTGCTCATTCTTCTTACACCCTTCCCCCCATGTACTCTTCCATCCAGTGACCCTAACTCTTTTGCTGTTCCTCAAATAAGACACTCCATCTTTCTTTTTTTTGTTTTTTTGAACTTTATTAATTTATTTTGATTTATCAACAATCACTTCCATAAGCTTTTGAGTTTTAAGTTTTTCTCCACCTCCCTCCCCAAGACAGCATGAAATCTGATATGCCTATACATATACATTCCTGTTAAACATATTTTCATGTTAATGATGTTGTAAGGAAGAATTAGAACCAATAGGAGGAACCACTGGAAAGAGGAAACAAAACACAACAGAAGAAAAAAAATGGCAAATAGTGTGCTTCGATCTGCATTCAGACTCCGTAGTTCTTTCTCTGGATATGGTTAGCACTTTCCATCATGAGGCCTTGGGAGATGTCTTAGATCCTTGCATTGCTGAGAAGGGCTAAATCTATCAATATTAGCCATCTCACATCGTGGCTGTTACTGTGTACAATGTTCTCCTGGTTCTGCTCACTTCATTCCGCATCAGACCATACAAGTCTTTCTAGGTTTTTTGAAGTCTGCCTGCTCGTCATTTCTTATAGCACAATAGTATTCCATTACATTCATATACCATGACTTGTTCAGCCATCTTCCAATGGATGGGCATCCTCTCAGTTTCCAATTCTTTGCTACCACAAAAAGAGCTGCTATAAATATTTTTGTACATGTGGGTCCTTTTCCCATTTTTATGATCTCTTTTGGATACAGCCCTAGAAGTGCTATTGCTGGGTCAAAGGGTATGCACATTTTTATAGCCCTTTGGGCACAGTTCCAAATTGCTCTCCAAAATGGTTGGATCAGACTCCTCCAACAATGCATTAGTGTTCCAATTTTCCCACATCTTCTCCAACGTTTATCATTTTCCTGTTTTGTCATATTGGCCAATCTGATAGGTACCTCAGAGTTGTTTTGATTTGCATTTCTCTAATCAATAGTGATTTAGAGCATTTTTTCATATGACTATAGATGGCTTTAATTTCTTCACCTGAGAACTGCCTGTGCACATCCTTTGACCTTTTATCAATTGGGAGACACTCCATCTTTCTGCTGCAGTAATTTTTCCTGGCTGCCCCTCATGGCTGCCCTCCTCCATCTCTACCTCCTGTCTTCCCTGCTTCCTTTGTGTCTCGGCTACATGTCTCATCTTCTACAAAAAGCCTTTCCCAGTCCTCCTTAATCTTACTGCCTTCCCACTGTGACCACTTCAATTTATCCTTTATGTACTTTATTTGCGCACAGTTGTTCGAATATTGTCTTTCCTAGTAGACTATGAGCTCCTGAAAATCTGGGACTGCCTCTTACTTTTCTTTGTCTCTTATAATATATGTAAATATGTAAAATATGTGTAAAATATGTAAAATATATGTAAAGCTTAGCACAGTATCTGACATATAGTAGGTGCTTAATAAATGTTTACTGACTGACCAATTAGAAACTTGAGCAAGTCACCATGTGCTTCTGTCTGCCTCAGAGTATTCCTTAGGATTGATCTAAGAACTGAATCATAAAATGAATGGATTTTCAATATGTAGAATTCACTTATAAAATCACAGATTATAAAAAATTTTTTGTTGCTGTTCAGTTGTTCCAGTCATGACCAATTCTTTGTGACCTCATTTGGGGTTTTTTTTTTGGCAAAGGTACTGAGTGCTTTGCCATTTCCATCTCCTGCTTATTTTATAGATGAGGAAACTGAGGCAAATAGAGTTAAGTGACTTGCCCAGGGTCACACGGCTAGGAAGTGTCTGAAGCCGCATTTGAACTCAGGAAGCTGAAACTTCCTAATGCCAAGCCCAGTGTAGTATATTTGCTTAAAAAGAGAATGTTGACCCAGATGTTTCATAGAATCATAGATTCAGAGCTGGAAGGATTTCCTCCTTTTAGAGGTAACTCCAAAGAAGTTAGTGACTTACCTAAGATCACACAGTAAAAGTTAGTGACTTACCTAAGATCACACAGTAAAAGTTAGTGACTTACCTAGTGTCTTACAGTAAGTATCTAAGGAAAGGTTAAAACCCAGGGAAATCCTTTGGCATGCTTCAAGTGGCCCAAGGGCCCTAAATGGGCAGAGGGCTTCAGGTTGTGAAGACCTGGTCTAGATGATCAACAAACAATAAATGCATCACTGCTTTGTAGCGTTTGCCCACCGAACATCTAACAATCATCTCCTAGGACCTAGTTGGAGCTAGTTTCCTTGCATGGCTGCCTGAAAGAGACCTTAAAGATAATCTTGTCCAGTGGTTTCCAAACTTTATGTAATTACACTCCTCTCGTAATAAAAAATCATGCCCCCCAATACTTTTCATAAAACAATCTCCATGAATAATTTACTTAAGCTTATATTTTATTCAGACATTATTGTGATTTTCACAATACAAAAATCATAAAATAGGGAAATATTTCTTGATTAAAAATACTTTGCAAATCACACAATTATAGCAAAATGATAATCAGAATTGTTTTGCTCATTTGATTTATTAAAAAATTATTAATGATTTAATTAGTAATTAGTTCTATTAAAGTAATATGTGGGTGTAGAGGGTTTTTTTGTGCAATGTCTCAGAACGTGGTTTTAGTGATACTACTACTTGTAATTCTTTTTCAACTAAGACAGATATTTTGTCTTTATGATAACTATAGCAAAAAAAAAGAAAACTTTTTTACACAATTAAGATATTGGTGATATAGTAGATCAAGTGGTAACCTTGGAATCAGGAAGACCTACGCCCTTCTGCCTTGGACTCTCAAGTTTGACCCTGGGCAGGTCACTTAACTTGTTCTAGCCTCAGTTGCCTCATCTATAAAATGGGAATAATACCTACCTCACAGGGTTGTGAAGATCAAATCAACTAAAACCCTCCTTTTCCAGGACTTTACTCATTTTGGATTTCTTTCACTTCTTCAGCAGCTCCCTCTCACCTTTTCCACTCTCTTTTTGTATTATCTTCCCCCTTTAGATTGTAAGCTCCTTGAGGGTAAGAACTGCCATATATATATATATATAATATAAAATTAATATAACTAAATATATATATATATATATATTTGTTTCCCCAGCACTTAACATAGTACCTGGATCTTAGTAGGTACTTACTTAATAAATGTTTATCAAATATTGACTAAATCAAGTGAGAAAATATATGCAAAATATATGTACATATGTATACATAAACATAAAATATACATATAGCAAACCTTAAAGGACTATAATACATGTTAGCTAGGATAATTATCTAGTACTCTTTCCACTGGACTGCATGTTAACTAATCCTACCTATTCATTTTGCTGCTGAGAGCCCATTGATGGTGGTATGGATATGGTCCTGGAGCTGGTCAGGAAGACCTGGGTTTGAATTCCGTTTACTAGCAGTGTAACCCTGGGTAAGTCACTGAGCCTCAGCTTTTCCATCTGTAGGATTATAATAGTTCCTCCCTCTTAGGTTATTGTAAGGATCAGATAAGATAACGTTTTCAAAGTGTTCTGTCAATCTTAAAGCAAATACAAGGTGTCTCAAAAGTCTCATTGAAATTTTAAGCTAATAAAGTCCATAATCACATTGATAACGAGTGGTAAGGGTATGGATTCAAATTCTGGTCTTCTCTTTCCAAACCTAAGTCCCCAGAATGGTTTAGTGAATAGATCACTGGACCAGGAGTCAGGAAGACCTGGGATTGAATCCAGTTATTAGCTGTGGGATCCTGAGCAAGTAACTTACTCTCTGAGCCTCAGTTTTCCCATCTGAACAATGACAATAATAACAGCACCTATTTCACAAGGATGTTATTAGGGTCCAACGAGATGATGTATATAGTGGTACTCTGGAAACCTTAAAGCACTTTATGAATGTAATACCCTCTCTAAGCTATCTCCTAGTTTGTACTAAAACTCCTGGGTTGAATCACACAGAGAAGGCAAAGAGACAGCAATGTTCTAGACTTCAACAGGTACCCTGCAGGTACACACTTTTGTCACAACAGCTCATAAGGTCCCACTGGGGTGTTTCCCATTAACAATCAAAGTATCATAATGTGGCCCTGGCATCAAGAGGACCTGAGTTCAAATTCTCCCTCAGATATTTGATATTTATTAGCTGTGTCTCTTAGCAAGTCACTTAACCTCAACTGCCTTGCAGAAAAACAAAAAAAATTTAAATTTAAAAAACTGTCATACTGTGGAAACATGTTTAATATGATTGTATATGTATAGCCTATATCAGATCGCATATCATCTTGGGGAGGGGGAGGGGAGGGAGAGGAAAAAATTTAGGGCTCAATATCTTATAAAGATGAATGTTGAAAACTAAAAATAAACAAACTAATTAATTAATTAAAAAAAAATCAGCCAGTGGTGTCCATCTCTTTGTGACCCCATTTGGGCGTTTGGGGCTTTCCTGGCAAAGATACTGAAGTGTTTTGTGATTTCCTTCTCTGGTTCATTTTACAGATGAGAAAACTGAGGCAAACAAGGTTAAGTAACTTGCCCAGGGTTACACAGCTAGTGTCTGCGGCCAGATTTGAGCTCAGGAAGATGAATCCTGACTCCAGACCAGGCGGTCTATCCGCTGCACCACCAAGATGCCCCAATAGACATGATTAGCTCTTAGCAAAGGCATTTACCAAAATGACATAGAAACAGTAGCTACAAACCTTTCCTCCTCCAGAAATCTGAGGTATACTTTCCCTCTCATCCACATAGCTCCCATAGAGTTGGCACTGATCCTGGGCTGTCATACCTTGTGTCTTGTGTTTACAGGTCTATCTCATTTTACTGCAATACGCAGATGTATTTTCTTACAAATTGAAGGTTTGTGGCAACCCTATGTGGAACAAGTCTATAGACACATGTGCTCACGTGTGTCTTTGTCACATTTTGGTAATTCTCACAATATTTCAGACTTTTTCATTATTATTACATCTACAATCATCTTTGATGTTACTACTCTAGAGAGGGGGTGGGAACCATAGAGCACCCCCACAAAAGACAACATAATTAACTGATAAATACTGTGTGTGTGTTCTGACTGTTTCATTGACTAGGTGTTCTGTTCCCTGTCCATCTCTACCTCTTCTCAGACCTCCCTCTTCCCTGAGACACAGTAATATTGAAATTGGACCAATTAATGGCCCTATAATGGCTTCTAAGTGTTCAAGTGAAAGGAAGAGTCAATTGATGCGGCAGACTTCATCGTTGTCTTATTTTTAAAAATTGCCACAGCCACCCCAACCATCAGCAACCACCAGCCTGATCAGTCAGCAGCCGTCGACATTGACGCAAGACTTTCCATGATTCACTGAAGACTCAGATGATGCTTAGCATGTTTTTTTTTAGCAATAAAGTGTTTTTTTAATTAAGGCATGTACAGTTTTTAAATACATAATACTATTGCACACTGAATAGACTACAGTATGGTGTAAACATAACTATTATATGCACTGGGAAACCAAAACTTTGTGTACCTGGCTTTATTGTGATATTTGCTTTACCACAGCGGTCTAGAACCAAACCCAAAATATCTCCAAGGTATGCATGTATATTGACGAGGATTGGGGGGAGTCAACTGGTTAAGAACCAACCATGCCTTCTATAAATATGAGCTATTGTTATTAACAATACATTGTCCCCAAGCCTTGATTTGGAGCTCTAGACGTCACTTTAGATTGATAAGTCTCTATTCTATTATCAATAAAATAAGGAAGAACCACCTAGTCCACCTTCTTACCCATGAGAATTATGACTGACCGTAAGCTAGTCTTGGATGGAATGCCAACCAGGGAGCCCATTATGTTTGAAGAGCGTCCCATTGCTGGACAGTGCCAGTGCTTAGGAAGTTTTTGCTTTATCAGGAAATGAAATCTGCCTCCTTTGGGAGTAGTTAGACCTGCCTGGCCTGGCCTAGCTTGGCCTGTACAAGCTACAGAGAGGGTGGATGTTTTAGCCAGCTTGGGAGCCAAGGGGAGGGACTGAAAACAGTAAATGGCTCCATAGAGCCACAGATAAAAAACACAAAGCAACTAGGCCGAGCCTATCCTTGGAACGCTGACTTCTTCAGCCACACCCACATAGGTGGGTAGCAATTCTTTTCCAACAGGTATTTATTAAGCCACCCTTACTTATCCGGTCCTAGAAGAATAGCTGAACTGGTTTCCCAGCCTCTAGTCAATTCAGAGTGTCAGAATCGGAAGGAACTTGATGTTGGGAGGTGGGCAGTAAGGAACAATTACACTTAGAATACAGAATGTCAGACATAGAAGGGAAATTAGAACACAGGGTATCAGACCTGGGAGAGCCATTGGAACTCAGAAGAGGGCCCTTAGAACTGGGAGGACCCTTAGAACACAGGGTATCAGAACTGGTAAGGACCTTAGAATAGGGAATGTCAGAGCTGGAAGGAAGGGCCCTTACAACACAGGGTATTAGAGCTGGGAAGGCCCTTAGAAGAGAGAATGGCAGGGCTGGGAGGGACCTCAGAGCACAGAATGTCAGAGCTGAAAGGACTCTTAGGACGCAATGTCAGAACTGGGAGGGATCTTAGAGCACAGGATGTCAGAGACCGGAAGGACCTTAAGAAATAAGTATTAGAGCTGGAAGGGACTGAATCCAAACCACTAATTTTACAGATGAGGAAATTAAATGACTTACCCCAGGCAAGGCATAAAAGAGATAATATATTCAAAGAGCTTTGAAAACTTTATCTATCTAATATAAATGCTATGGGGGGAGAGGGAGGAGAAAGTTACACATCCAGAAAAATCACAATCGGGACTTAAACCCAATTTTTCTGACTGTCAGTGCAATGCCCTTTCTCCTCTGCTAAGTTCCCTTTTTCTTGCAGTTTGATGCAACACACACTTATTAATCATTTACTGTGTGTAGAACACTGCATTGTTGGGCTCTGGAGGAGGGTCACATACTCAGATAGGAGACTCTGCTTGCCCTGTGACGCTTATAGTCTAGCTAAATGACATATAGAAAAAAACTACTATGCCCACAATGCAAGTAACTACTTTAAAAGAGGTGCAAACAAAATTCTATTCAAGGTCTAAGCAGCAGAGATCACTGAGGTATGGCAGTGGTGAGCAGAGACTTCAAGTAGGAAGGAGCATTTTCATTTGGCCTTAAAATAGCCCTGGGATCTTAAAAGGTTTGGGAAGAGGTGGGGAAAATGGGAGCCAATGGGAACATTGTTCTAGGCCAGGGGTGGGGAATCTACACATGTGGCCTTCTAGGTCCTTGGGTGCAGCCTTTGACTGAGTTCAAGTTTTACAGAACAAATCCTTTTACTAAGGGGATTTGTCCCGTGAAGTTTGGATTCTGTCGAAGGGCTGCACTCGAGGGCCTAGAGGGCTACATGAGGCCTGTAGCCTGCAGGTTCCCCACCCCTGTTCTAGGCATAGGGCCCAAAGGTCAGAAAACACAGGACATGTTCAGGGGCTGGTGAGTAGACCAGTTTGACAGGACTATAAAATGCACATAGGATTAATGTGACATAAAACTGGAAAGGGAGGGTGGTGCCAGATTGTGGAAGGCCTTGACTATCGGAGCAAAGTGATTGCAATTGTATTCTAGAAGGAATAAGGAAACCATTGAAGCTTTGGAGCAGGAATGACCAGATGGAGGCAATTTGATCCCCTCAGTGTGGCATTCTGCAGCCAATGCAGATAGTTACTCCTCTAGGAAGCAGCAGGGCTCAGTGAAAAGAGTCCCTCAGTTGACAGGCATTTATTAAGCACTTTAGGCTCCCTGCTAAGTGCTGAGAATGCAAATACAAATAGAAAGAAAGATGAATATAGCCCCGGAGGAGCTTGTATCCTAATGAAAGAAGGCTATCCAGAAAGGGAAGCTGAAATGGGGTGGGGAGGGGCCCCCAGACAAAGGTACCAGGCCTCTGGGCAGGGGAAAGTCCGAAGTATAATCTGGAGAGGAATGAGACCTGGCTGGCCTGGGTGTCCTCTTTAAATAGAGGTTGGGGGAGGGGGGGCACAGCTGGGTGGCAGCTGGGTGGTGCAGTGGATAGAGCACTGGCCCTGGAGTCAGGAGGACCTGAGTTCAAATATGACCTCAGACACATAACACTTACTAGCTGTGTGACTTGGGGTAAGTCACTTAACCCCAATTGTCACACACACACACACACACACAGAGAAAAGATTAATAAATAGAGGTTCTGGAAGGAGCCATCTAATCAGAGGGAGAGGCAGAAGGTGGATAGGTACTTGCAAAATATGAAGTCCAGGACTGGAGTGAGGCTTCAGTCAGTAGGTCAGCTGCCAGATGCCCACCAGTATACTAAGCAATGGAGACAGAGAGAAAAGCAAAAGACAGTCCCTGCTCTCAAAGAGCTCATAATCTAATGGGGGAGACAACATGCAAAGAAATACATATGAACAATAATATCATAAATAAAAGAGTGCTGGATTTAGAACAAGGGGCTTTGTTACTGTTTAATCATTTCAGTTGTATTCAACTCTGCTTGACCACATCTGGAGTCTTCTCGGCAGAGACACTGGAGTGGTTTGTCATGTCCTTCTTCAGCTCATTTTACAGATGAGGAAACTGAGGCCAACAGGATGAAGTGACTTGCACAGGATCACACAGCTACTAAGTGTCTGAGGCCAGATTTGAACTCAGGAAGATAAGTCTTTCCTGATTCCGGGTTCTATTCACTACACCACCCAGCTGCTCTAACAATGATGTTTAAATATTAAATAATAAATATAAGAGTACTAGGTTTGGAATGAGAGGACTTGGATTCAAATCCCACTTCTTTCATGAACTCTCTACGTGACCTAGCCAGAATCTCTGCTCATTTCTTGCCTAGCCTTAAATCTCTGAATGAGTGTTGTCTCAGACGAACTGAAACCTGGAAAAGACCTTAGCTTAAAAAGGCCCAGGGCTCCCACTGCATCTGGAGTCATCTCCGAGTGTCCTGATCTGTGTCTTGCCACTGGACTCAATGACCCTGGAGGAGAGAGTGAGGCCTGTGACCTTGCACAGCCCTGCCTCACTTAAATCCAATTCACTTGCAAGTCAAGACATCATCCTCCTAATGTCATTGGTCCTCTTTGAGAAAGAAGGGCAAACAACAGCCAGAATCTCTGGGACTCAGTTTCCTCATATGTAAAATAACAAAGCAAGGGGTTAAAATCCAGATCAAAAGTGGCCTCACAGCATGTCCCCAGTTAGAGTTGGGATAAGATCCAGGAAAGTCCGCAGGAAAGACATGTTCCTCTCAAACACTGGGTGGAACCCAGTTTCCGAAAATAGCTCCATGGGCACATCCCAGCTCCAGGCCTACATACTATGGACATTTATAGCAGGTTAAAAACCACATCTGAGGAGGACACAGGATGGGTCTGGGGGGTGGTATCATGTCATTGAAAATATTTGGGTGGCCTGACCTGACCTCGGAAGGCAAACTAGGAATAAAAAGTAGAAGTCGTAAAAAGGTAGATGGAAGGAAAAGAACACCCTAAAAATGAGAGCTCTCTTCCCTAATGCAGGAAAATTGAGGATAAAATCAGTGGGGGCTTGGAAAAATCTGAATTACACCATATTTTAAAGATAAATCTACTTCATTTCAAGTACACAAAGTTTTCTCAAAGTGTTACCACATATTGCCCCAAATTTCCTGCTTAATTCAATTCAGTTCAATTTGACAATCCTGTTAAGAACCTTTTATATAGAACACCTTATGTTGGAACTGGGCCTTAATGCTCGTACCTTCTCTCTGTTGATCATCACCAGTTTCTTCTGTGTCTCCCCTGTTAGACTGGGAGCTCTTTGACAGCGGGATTGATTTTTGCCTTTCTCTGTATCTCCAGTGCTTAGCATGGTACCTGGCATACAGTGGGAGCTTAATAAATGTTTGTTGACCAATTGACTGGAGGAGAACAAAAATTATAATATTTCATGTTCATATAGCACTTTAAGACTTCACAATGAAGTAGGCAAGGAAAGTATTATTATTCCTCTTTTAGGGATGAGGAAACGTCAATATTCCCAAGGTAACATATTCCATATGCCAGTGGATCTAATATTTCATCAGTATAGGCATTTCTTCTATGGGTGCAGAGAGCAACCCAGCCACAGTGTTATCCTGCCCAGTTCTTGTCCATGTTCTTCCCGTAGGTCCTCCAGAGAAGGTTGACCCAACTAGAGACTTTGTTTTGAGTATATTCACATTTCTTAGTATTTTTAGGTTATTAGGTATTTAGATATGTTTACATTTCTTCAGTGCAGCACTCATGTCATCCATTGGTCATGCTCTCTAGTCACATGACTTGCCCACCTCCTTTTTCAATCTACATTTCTCCTCAGCACTTCTTGTCCATGGGTTGTTGTTGGAAAGATG